GTGCAGACTGTTTCCTAATGGTGTCTCAGAAGTCCTGTAAGCTTTTCATTTCTCTTCATCCTTCCCCCATTCCCTTCTGTTTGGATAATTTCAAATGCGCTGTCTTCAAGCTCACTGATGCTTTCTTCTGCTCGATCTAGTCTGTTGTTGAAGCTCTGTATTAAGTTCTTCAGTTCAGTCACTGTACTCTTCAACTCCAAAATTTGTTTGGTTCTTCTGTATGCTTTTTATTAAACTTCTCATTTTGTTCTTGCTTTCATGATTTTGTTAATTGTTTTATCTATGTTCTCCTGTAGCTCTCTGAGCATTTTTAGAACAATTGTTTTGAATTCTTTGTTGGGCGACTCATGTATCCCCATTTCTTTAGGGAGAGCTGCTGGAAGTCTGCCATGTTCCTTTGGTGGTCTCATGACTCCCTGATTCTCTGTGATCCCTGAAGTCTTGCCTAGGTGTGTATGCAGTTACCTCACCCAGACTTTACGAACTGACTTTGGTATAAGCCCTTCACCTTGGGTGGGGACGTGCTGGAACATGCTGTGACCCAGGCCCAGTGGTACAGGGTGTCAAGTGCAGGTGTGTGTCTGGGTGGGAGGGATACTGTGTCATTGACTCAGGTCACAGCGGGTCACAGCATCAACTGTGTGGCTCCTGACAAGCACTGTGGGGGGTCTGCAGTGTCTGCAAGGGCTGGTGGGTTCCCCAGCGGCACCTCCAGGTTCAGCATCTAGGGATCAGGGCGGAAAGCAGTGACAGCCTGGAGCTTGAGGCATGCACACATCTGTCTGGGGAGGCCCGCTGATCAGGGCAGGAAGCAGGGATGACAGGGAGCTTGAGGCATGCACACATCTGGCTGGGGAGGCCTGCTGCAGGTGCATGTGTAGTGGCAGGGGCTGGCTGTAAACACACACACAGTGGTGGGGAACAGAGCCGGTTGCAAGGGTCTGGGCCAAGTGTGGGCCCATCAGGCAGGTGGTGTGCTCCCCCAGAGCTGCAGCATCTTCCCACAGGCATGTACACAGCAGTGGAAGCTGGCGATGGGGATCAGCCTGGGCGTGTGCAGGTACATGGCTGGAAGGGGCAGGTCACAAGTATGCATCTAGCAGGGGGGGTCAACCTCAGGGGCCTAGGCTGGTATCTGGGACCGTGTAGCTTCAGAGGTCTGGGCAGGCTGCCAGTCCAGATCCTGGGCTCGGGTGGGGAGCAGGTAGCAGATGGTTGGGGACTGGAATTCCCATGGGGAAGGCCGCAGAGGCCTAGTTGTTACCAGCTGCGTGGCTGACACTGTTGTGTGTCTCAGCTTTGCTGGTCTCTGAGTGGGATAAACTCAACAGGTCCTTTGTGTGATGCCCCAAAAGGTTGGGGAAGCTGGTCACGCCACCTTTTCCTGGGGTGGGGAATTCTTCCTAGTCTAGGAGGTTTCTCTTGGGGCTGAGCAGAGCCTGCCTAGGGGATGGGAGACTGCAGACAAAATGAAGCTCTTTTTCCTTTCATTTCTGTGTGATTATTCTCAGGTTTTTGTACCACTGAGTTGCTGAATTTTCTTAAGTAGACTCCTGAGCTCTCTCAGAGCGGTTTATCTTTGCAGACAGCTCATTGTTAGCCTTTGGGCAGGTGGGTGGGGGGATGGCGGCTGGGGCCTCCTACTTTACCATCTTGGTGATGTCAATTGAAAATGAGCTCTAGGAGTTATAAGGCCCTGCCAGAAAGGAAGGGACTGAGCGGGATCATATGACCACTTTTTAGGGGACTTTGTAAAACAGGCACCTTGCAGTGGATAGGCTTGATGTCCGTGTACTTTAAAAGGACTTGGGAACAAACCCGACTTCGACCATCTGTTCTTTTCATAAGCACTTCAGTCCCTTCTATGTGCCAGGCCCTGGGCACACGGAAGGCACCCTTTTCAAAGGACATCTCAGCCCAGCAGAAAAGACAAAGACGGTACCCGGATCCCTGTGACCAAGAGCAAAGGAAAGGTCAGGACAGAGAAACTGAAGCAGTGTGTGTCTGCGGGCATCAGGGGTCAGGGCTGGGGACAGCGCCCAGCTGCACCTGTCAGGACAGGGGGCTTCAGCCTGAAAGACCTGGACAAACAGAGGCGTGCAGTATAGGTGAGGATGACAAAACAGAGTCCATACAAAGGCACAGAGGTGATGAGAAATCAAGGGGCATTCAGACAAACATGAGTGTCCTATAAGAGCACCATTTTCCCCAGGAAACAGGCACAGCATGAGGGCCTATGACCAATGTTTATGAGCACAGAAACCAATACGATGACTTCTCTGATGCTGTAGACTTACCCAGAAATAGTCATATCACAAAATTTCCTAACCAGTGTAAAATGATTTGAGGGCTCCCCACCCAACATACAGAAATCAGCATTTTTACTCTCATACAGAGTTAGCTGGCCCATAAATATTTAGCGAATCCAATTATTTCTGTGGTATTTTGGAATGTGACATTTTCAGAAATTTAGCATTTTTTCTTAAAATTTTCCTTCAAATGCTAGTTTTCCTTTAAAATGAAATTTACACATGACATCAAGAAATCAGAGAAGGGGGCTGTCAGAGCACAGGCTATCTACTTTTCATCCAGTTCCCACAGGTGAAGGACAACACCCATCCTTTAGCATGAAGGAGCAAGCTGACATTACTGCGGACTCAACCACGTCACGCTTGGTTAGCGTTAAGTTCCATAGATGTGCGCATCAAGTCCAGTACATTCCCTCATGTGGACACACTGAGGATTAATTAGGAGGGCCTTGCGTTACGACAGCGGCAGGGGTGATGCTGAGAACGTCCTAACAGCCAGCGCGACAAGGGCTCCCGCGTCTGAGGCTGCACTGGCTGTGGCTGCAGGCTGGCTGCCCCATGTCCCTCCTGAAGGCACACTGTCCTCTGGGCTTGGAGACAGAACCTCCAGGACAATCAGCCACATGCCGGGAAGTCACTTCTAGTAATGCTGCATAAAGGATGTGTATCGTGCTTCTTCCGTACATCCAGAAAAACAGCTTTATATAATTCCCAGAAAAGAACCCATAACCATTCTTGACTTGTAATAGTATCTCTTCTGAAGTTCCCAATGGTATGTCAACAGTAAAAAATTTAAAAAATATATTCTTGTTGAGATGTATGCTGAACTATTTTGGGGTGAAATGACAGAGGTTTTGGATGTTTCCAAATACTACCGTGTAAAAAAAGTGAGGCAAAGGTAGATAAAACAAGATTGGCATAATGAATAGACAGTTGTGGAAACTAGCTGAGGCAGTGGTTCTATATGCTATTTTCTTCGTACTTGTGTATGTTCAAAAATCCTCAAAATAAAAATAAGAAAAAGGAAACAACATAAATTCTATTTTTAAAGAAAAGACTCCCTGATCACATTATTTTCTACCACTTTGTTTCTACCTTCAGAGGGTGATGGCCGACAGCTTATTTGTTCTTCCTGAACCTGGCAAGTTGGCTGCTCTCAAATAAATCCCTCTAAAAATTTCTAAAAACAACTCCTTAAAGAAGTAAACATAATCAGGAAGCAACCAAGTGACAATTGGGACAGACCTGGACTGTTTTCAATTGATTAGTAAAATCACTTTATAACTAGGACAAAAAATTACTTAAAATGTACAGGTGTTTTAAAGACAAACCTTCCCCTCTGAAAAAAAAGCAAAAAAAACCAGGACAAATTTGACAGAAAATAAAGTACCATCTACCGTGTCACAGTATGAAATGCAAATCATCTAGATGACTAATTTCAGCATTTTCTTCATTCTGAATAATATTGATCTGTTAGGAATCAATGTTCTTAAGATTTCAAGAACTCTTACATAAGTCACAATTATTGTTTTCAATAAAACCATTACAGTACCCCAATTTGTAATGTTTTCATTTTCACTTAGATGCTGGAACTGTGAAAAAATAAATTAAAATCTCAAGTCTAAATGGAGTGTAGAATCTTCTTCTAGGAAGACTGAGAAAATGCTTTTCTAGAAATGTAAATTAAGGGCATCCTGCAAACTTAACAAATTGTGGGAAATGGACACATTTAATAACATTCACTATTAGATATATTTGGTCTTTATCTCTGGTTCCTGACACAAAGCTCCTAAAAGACTAAGAATTTCCTGAGTTTTAGGGTTCCCTTTTGAGCACAGTTTATGCCAATGAAATGACTTCAGAGTCACCCTAGAGAGGTTCAGGGTCAGCTGGTCACCAGAAAGATCTAAGGAAGTTTTAGCTCCACCCACTGACTTCAGAGAAGCGGGTGCTAGAGATTAAGATCTAGAAAAAATCTTAACAAGATTTAAGGAGCCTTTTGGTTGGTGAACAGGAACACAGCCACGAGCCAGGAGGGTGGGGCACCCCAAACTCCATGGGGACAGAAGTTCTTGTGCTCGGGACCCTTCCAGGCCTGGCCCTATGTGCCTCCTCATCTGCTGTTCATATGTACCTTTTGTAACAAACCAGTCATCTCATGGGCTTCCCCAGTGGCTTAGCGGTAAAGAATCCGCCTGCAGTGCAGGAGCCATGGGTTTGATCTCTGGGTTGGGAAGACTGCCCTGGAGGAGGGCATGGCAACCCACTCCAGTGTTCTTGCCTGAAGAATCCCATGGACAGAGGAGCCTGGTGGGCTACAGTCCATGGGGTGGCAAAGAGTCAGACATGACTGAAGCAACTTAGCATACACCAGAAGCTCATAAGTGACTGTTTCAGTTCTGTGAGCTGCTCTAGAAATTAATCAAACCCAAGGAGTGGGTCACAGGAGCCTCGGGTTTAGGGCCAGTTGGTGAAAAGCAGAGGTGACACCCTGGACCTGTGACTGGAGTCTAAAATGTGTTGGTTTGGGTGGTGGTAGTTGACTCAGGCTTTAACTTGTGCGATCTGATGCCATTCCCAGGTAGACAATGTCACAACAGAACCATATGGTGTCAGAAGAATCAGAGGATTGGCTGGTGGTAGAAAGCACTCCAGGGACCAAATACCAAACGTTCTCTCCTCTTCATTTTCTCCTAAAGGCTTTTATTAAGAACCACCATGGTTTGGTTCTCCAGCAAATTTTATTGGTCAAGGTATGTGGAATTATATGCAATACCTGGGGTTTAAATTAACAGGCTCACTTATAAACCAACATTTATCTTATTTTTTAAAAATTTTGCTTTTGCATAAACTGATGTGGTCAAACAGACATGCTCCTACCCCATGCAAAAAGCTGTTCCAAAATGAGCAGCTTGCAAACCCACTGTTAACAAGACACTAAATGAAACATTCTTTCAGTGAGGTCCAAGAAGCAGATCAGTCTGAGAATTTGCTTCATATTCTGACTTTTCAAAATCAAATATTCAAGATATAAAGAAGCAAAATTAAAATATCTAAAACAGCTACCACTTGATATTTTTATCCAAGTCTCTTCCAGAGTTTGTAGTGCTGCTGTGCTCTATTGGTTAAAACAAAACAACAGAAGCAGTAGGCAGCTTCTACCTTAAAGGTGATCAAATTTACCAGTCTGAGCTAAAAGTCACAGTGGAAGAACACATGTAAGGTGAAGAACGCTATTTAAACCTTTCAGTTTTAAATAGTACTGTATTTTAGCTTTAAAGAAAAGTTCTATTACATATTTTTGCATAAACATTTTAAAATATTAGAACAAGTCTTTGTAATACAATATACATTAACTCATGTGAATTAAAAACATGTCAACTTGATAACTGTTGTAAGGCATTTAAGTATTCAGCAGAAGTGTACAGAAATTTCTTAGAGGTGTCCCTTTAATATTAACTTCAGTGGGTGTCCTTAAAATGAATGCAAAACAATAAAAGACTAAAAAGGAGGCAATGATGCTATAATACTGAATCCCAGAAAAAGCACAGTAGCAAAAATGTGTTTTCTAACAGGAAGACCAGATGGATCAGCATACTGAGACCTGGTAAACAGCCCTGGTTCAGCTATTGCACTGACCAAAGCTGAGAGTAGCATCTGTTGCCTAGGAAGTTTGGTGAAAGGTACCAGCATCCTTAGTGCCTGAAACACATCAGGTGCTCAGCTCTACTTCCTGAACTGATCTGATGAAGATGCTTTAAAATCAGAGTGCTAGACAGTGTAAAGTTCATGAGAAAATTTCATTTACCGTTTTATTTCAGTATGTGAGTAAATTCTGATCTAGTATTTCCAGTGTGGCTCATGTAACACCTTGTGGACTGTGTGGTAAATGGAATTAACCAAGTATTACATCGGCCATCAATGCCAGAATCTCTGAATATCAGGTCACAAACATAACCAACTGTGCAATATAACCAACATAATGATCAAAGCACACCTCACAATGAACAGATTTTAGTTCAGATGATTAAAAAAAAAATAAAGTATTAGACTGCATTTAGTGCAGTGCTCTATCATACCACACATCAGATACCATGCTGTGGAGATGCACTGGACGAGCATATATACAGTACACAGCCAGGATCCAAACCAGAGTGAAAGGGCGAATATGGAACAGAACACTTTTACATACATGTATACATTTAATGGTCTCGTCCATCGAACTGGATTTATTATACAGTTTGCTGTGCCACATCTACTAGTTTGCATAACATCCCAAATTATTATTATTATTTTTTGCACAAAGATCTACTTCCATATAAAGTAGAAAAAAATGGTGGTTAAAAAAAACCTTCTTCAAGCTTCAATAATTGTGTCCCAAATACCACTGTACGAATACCTAAAAAATATTAAGAATGATTTAGAAATATGCATAATTATAAATGTCCAAACATAGCTTAAAGTCACAAAGGGAACCAATGAATACTTCCAACTTTTATTTAAACTTACTTATGCCTATTAGATAATGTTGACTATACATAAAAAAGAGGAAACTTTAGAAAGTTAAAATCTCAATTTGCAAATTTTATAACCCTTAATGAGAGGCATACTCTATTAGGCTTCAACTAACCCAAGAAAGACTCGTCACTGACATGAAGGCAGAAGAGTCTCTAACCCAAATCATTCCCATCAACTTTCCTTTCTTTCTGAGCAAGAGCATAAGGATTTCCTACAAATTATTTCAAGCAGAATATCTAATTTTTTTTTTAATTGGGAAGGTTTACGCTAGCATTTTGTTTCATATTTTCCCCATTTGTCCTATGTCCTTTTTCCTTCTTTTTCTGACTTCTTTCAGATTATTTAATTATGTGTTTATTCCATTTTAATTCCCATGTTGACTTAAATTTGCCAAAGCTCTTTGTTGTGTTGTTTCAGTGGTTGCTTTGGGTTTTTTTTCCTTAAGATTTAATTTCTTTTAGTGCAGTTTTAGGTTCCCAATAAAACTGAGGAGGAAAAAATTATATATAGTTCCCAAACACCCCCAACTCTCACACATATAGAGCTTCCCCCATTATCAACATCCCCATACATCATACATCCCCAACATCAACATATAACATTTGTTATAGTTGATGAACTTACACTGACACATAACAATCACCCAAACCACAGTTAAACTACAGTTCACTTTTGTAGATTCTATGGGTTTGGACAAATATAAGAAGACATATATTCATCCCTGACCCCCAATCTTTTCACTGTCTCCATAGTTTGCCTTTTTCAGAATGTCACACAGTTGTAATCAGGCAGCACGTAGCCCGACTGGCTTCTTTTACTTAGTTATATGCATTGAAGGTTCTTCTTTCATTTAGTTATATGCATTATAAGTCTTTTCATGGCTTGATAGCTCATTCCTTTCCAGTGCTGAATGATATTCCATGGTCTGGATGGACCATTGTTAACCCATTTGCCTTCGGAAGTACATCCTGTTTGTTTGCAAGTTTTGGCAACTGTGAACAATGCTGCTATAAAGATCCATGTGTGGGCATTTGTGTGGACATAAGTTTTCAACTACTTTGTGTACATACCAAGCAGTGAGACTGCTGGATTATATAGTAAGAGTATGCTTAGTTTTATGAGAAAATGTCAAACTGTCTTCCAAAGTAGCTGCACCATTTTGTACTCTTACCAGCAATGAACAAGAATTTCTATTGCTCTACATCCTCACCAGCATTTGCTGCTGTCACTGTCTTAGATTCTGGCCATTCTAATAGGCTTTTAGTGACAGCTCATTTATGAAGTATTTTTTCCTGTATTTACTGCCATCTGGATACCTTCCTTGGCAAGGTATCTGTTAAGGTCTTCGGTCCATTTTTAAATTGGGTTTGTTTTCTTTCTTACTGTTGAGTTTTAAGAATTCTTTGTATAATTACAGTAACAGTTATCAGATATATCTCTTGTAAACATTTTCTCCTGGTGTGTAGCTGACTAATTCTGTTGACACTGTCTTTTGTAGAGCAGAAGTTTTCTTTTTTATGAAGTTCAGCTTACCAATTATTTCTTTCATGGGTTGTGTCTTTAGTGTTGTATCTAAAAAATCATCAACATACTCAAGGACATCTACATTTTCTCTTATTTTGTGTTCTATGAGTTTTAAGATTTTGCACTTTACATTTAGATTTATGATTCATTTTGAGCTAATTTTTGTAAAGGGTATAAGGTCTGATGTCTAGATTCATTTTCTGCATATGGGCGGCCAATTGTTTCAGCTCCATTTGCTGAAAAGACTATTTCTGTGTCACTGTACTACCTTTGCTCCTCTGTCAAACATCAGTGTGTGGGTCTATTTCTGGGCTCTTTTCTGTCCCATTGATCTCTTATTTCACCAACACCATACTGTCTTGACTACGATAGCTTTACAGTGCTTTGAAGTTGGGTAGTGACAGTCCTTCATTTTTGTTCTTTTCCCTCAATATGGTGTTGGCTATTAGGGGTCTTTTGTCTTTTCTCCGCATGAACTTTAGAATCAGTTTGGTTCTCCTCATATAGATGTTGTTGAGTTCTGCCTAAGTATTTCTTTTTTGGGGAAACTAACGTAAATGGTATTGTGTCTTTCAATTCAGATTGGACTTGTTCATTGTTGGCATACAGAAAGGTGATGGACTTTTGTCCATTACCTCGTATCTTGCAACTGTGCTATTAATATATAATCACTTATATGGGAGTTTGTGGATCCTTTTGGATTTTCTACCTAACCATGTCATCTGCCAACAAAGTTAGTTAATTTCTTCCTTCCCAATCTGTATACCTTTTATTTCCTTTTCTTATTGCATCAGCTAGGACTTTGGTTTGATGTTGAAAAGGACTGCTGAGGGCACAATCTTGCCTTGTGTCTGATATTGATAAGAAAGCTTCAACTTTCTCACCATTAGGTCTAATTTTAGCAGTAGGTTTTGGTACACTTTACTAAGTTGAGGTGATTCCCCACTATTCCTAGTTTACTGAGAGTTCTCATCGCAAAAGGATATTGGAACTTGTCAACTGATTTTTCTACATCTTTTGATGAAATCATGTGATTTTTGTTCCCTGTTGATGTGATGATTATATTAATTGATTTTGGAATGTTGAACCAGCCTTGTATATCTGGGATAAATCCCACTTGGAAGTATGTAATTCTTTTTATACATTGCTGGGTTCAATCTACTATTTTGTTAAGAATTTCTGTATCTATGTTTACAGGAGATAATAGTTTGTAGTTTTCTTTTCTTGTAACATCTCTGTCTGGCTTTGGGATTAAGATAACATTGGTCTCACAGAATGAGTTAGGAAGTGTTCTGTCTGCTTTTGTTCTGTGAATGAGACTGCAGAGACCTGGTGTGATCTCTTCTTTAAATGTTTGGTAGAATTCACCAGTGGAGCCACATGGGTCTGGTACTTTCTGTTTTGGAAGGTTACTAGTTATTGGTTCAAGTTCTTTAAAACAGATATAGGCCTTATTCAGATTATCTGTTTCTTCTTGTGTGAGTTTTGGCAAACAGAATTGGTTTTTTTCATCTATGTTATCAAATTTTCAGGCACAGAGTTGTTCATAGTGTTCCTTTATTATCCTTTAAATGTCCATACAATCTGCAGTGATGTCCCTGCTTTCATTTCTGATATTAGTAGTTTATATTGGTTTCTTTTTTTTTGGCCTGGCTAGAGTCATTGACTTTACTGTAGTTTTTCAAAGAACCAACTTTGGTTTCACTAATTTTTTTCTATTGATTTCCTGATCTAATTTTTATTATTTCTTTTCTTCTTTCTACTTTGGATTTAATGTGTGTTCTTCTTTTTCTAGTTTTTTATGGAGGACACATATGATTATATTTAGATCTTTCTTCTTTTCTAATACAATGCTACAAATTTTACTCTAAGTACTATTTGTGTTGAATCTCCCCTAAATTTTGATAAGTTGTGTTTTTTTCATTTAGTTTAAAATACTATTAAATTTCTCTTAAGACTTCCTCTTTGACCCACTTATTTAGAAGTATGCTGTGTAATGCTCACATTTCTGGATTTCCCAGTTATCGTCCCACTGCAGATTTCTAGTTTTACTCCACTGTGCTCTGAGAGAAGACACGGAATGCCTTCTGTTCTTTTAAATGTCTTCAGGTGTGTTGTATGGCCTAGGACGTGGTCTGTTTTGACAAACGCTCCATGTAAGCTGGAGAAGAATGTGTATTCCACGGCTGAGAATAAACTTTTAATTATGCAATCACCTCTCCTTTTCATAATGCAGCTCCAAAAAGCAACAACCTCCACTGCGAAGCCCGTGTGGGCTCTGGGTGGGAAAGAGAGGGTAGGTCTGAGGGCAACAGGACTGCCGCAGTGTGAGCGCCTACCTGTGCGCCGAGCTGCTTCAGCAGCCACACTCCTGTGCGCTCGGGGCCTGTGCACGGCGTGGGGACCGCAGCTGTCTCAAGGCCGCATCTCCGTACTGGATACCCGAGCCCATTCTTTCTGGGTCCAGCTCACCTGAGGGTCAAACAAGTCTTTAGAAAAAGTTTTTATGTTTCGGTGATCCTCAAAATATATGAAGTGAAAACAGCAAAGTGCAGAACACTGTGTATATAAAACATTATTTTGAATAAAGAGGAAAAATACACACATATTTGCTTGCATGGGCATAAAAATATCTTTGGATGGGTACATAAAAAACTGGTAATGGTGGCTGACTTCAAGAAAGAGCTCAAGATGCTAGGGGATAGGAGATGGGGGAAACAGTAGGTGACTTTTACTGTATCCTCTTTACTTGAATTTGGAATTATGTGACTATATTATGTATACAAAAAGCACTGAAATGAAACCACAAAGATACCATTCCTCACTATGAGACTGGTAAAGACCCAAACATGATAATACAACCCGTGGACATGGCTTTAGTGAAATAAACACCTTCATTCATACTAGTGGGATAATAAACTGCTTCAAGCCTAAAAGGAGGAATCTGACAGCCTCTACATAAATTCCAAATGCCTACGTTCTTTGACCCAACAACTCCATTTCTGGGAATTTATCCTACATATACACACATACATGTGAAATGATATACAAAAGGTTATTTACATTGTTTGTGACATCTGGCAACAACTCAAATGTCCAAAGCAGACTGGTTAGATAAATTATGGCAATATACAAAATTGAATATTACACATACACACTATGCATATATATATATACATTAGCATAATGTGTATGTGGAAGTCTCTATTACTGATTTGTAATGATTGGTAGGTACAGTAAGTGCAGAATGTATAGTATGCTAACCTTTCTCTATAAAGTGGTAGAGAAAATAAAGGTTTTTGAACCATATGAATATACTGCCTATTTAGAAGGTTACAATGAAAAAGCACTTCTGAAGAATTATAACACATCTATATATTTTTTCACTTGATATAATTATGATTTTGATGATTTTAGGCGAAAAAGATCTTGAAAGCTTTATGTGTGTTAACTTACATGCACTGTCTTCATGGGTGGATACCAAAGGCGGGAAGGTAATCTAAATAAGTTGAGCCTGACTGTACTCAACACAATGCCAATTTTAATGCTAACTACTTAGGCTATAGACTCAAAAAAAATAACAGTACTGTACCAAGTTGAGTAACTATTTTGTTGCTGTTTTCAGACCAAAAGCCCACAGAGGGATGCAGCACCCCTCTATCTGCTGATACCAGAGGTCTGGGCCCTGACGCTCTCCCACCACCTTCCCTGCCCCACCCTCTCTGTCAGCCCCCCTCTCACCTTCTCTCCCTTACCTTCCTCTCTCTTCTCCCTCAGCATTTACAGGTGCTAAGACTTCTTCCATTCCTGAAACCTCTCACGTTAAATTAGCCCTCTGCCTCCTCCTCCAAGGAGGCGCCAGGCTCTGCTTCCTCATCTCGTCTGTGCTCAATTGCTCCATCTCCTCCCTGCATCCTTCTGCTGGTAAGGGTGACTGGTGACTTCCTCTTGCCCACCCCACTGGATACTTTTCAGCGTAAGTCTGAGCTTACAAGACTTTTCTCCCATGTATTTGATAAGGAACAACCTTTGGCTGAATGTGGGCAGAAGTGCCACTCCCACTGATCCTGGGTATCTTCCCGCATCTTTGGCCTTTCCCTCCTCCTCTCTCTCCTTCTTCATCTCCAAGGCTTTGTTCTGGGCCACTGCTCTTCCCACACTGCACTGCTAGCTGGAGGATCACATTCCCTCCACCGCTGCACCTGGTCCTATAGACTGGCGGCTCCCAAGTGGGCACCGCCAGCTGGATTCTTCCCACAGGTCCCTGGACGGCGCCCTGTGCCTGCGCCAGTGATGCCACCCAGGGAACATTTCAAAACACAACCATCCTGATTCCCTGACTGGCTTCTCCTCCGGTTCTGCCATCTCCTCGCTGAGTCACCCAGCTGTGGCTCCTCCTCTCTTCTGACCCCTGCTCTTCCAACACCCCACAAAGTCAAAAGGCCCTGCCCTGCTGCATCTGAGTCAGGATGCCACTGCCAACGTGTTTCTTAGATTCATCTATGTCCCTTCATCTCTGCTTCCACATCCTTGTTACAGCTTTCATCAGGCACCTTTTCTTGAATCACTCAAACATGCGTGGTTGGTATCCTGGCCATCAGCCCTGGGCTCCCTTTGGTCCGTCTCTGATGTGACCGCCTGCACACACCATGTGTCTCCAGGCACAGCCTGGCCACATCACTCTCTGCCTCCCCCCTTGCATGGCTTCCCAGCCCTACAGCAGTGGTCCTCTATCTTGGACGAACATGAGAGTCACACGGGACAGCTTTTAAAATGATGATGCTGAGGCTTTAACTCAGCATCTCCAGAGGTGGGGCCTAGAATTCAAATGTGTATGTATCCCCAGGCGACTCCTGCATCCAGCCAAGGTGGAGACCCAGGCAGCCACAGAGTGAAGCCCAGAGCCTGGGTGACGATCACTGGCCTGGCTGCCGCCGCTCCTCATCTCCTCTCCTGCAGTCCCCACTGTGGCCTGTCCCTCCAGTAACTGCAGCTCCTCCCAGTCCTCACCCGTGTGCCCCTCTGAGGGCCTGCCTCCTTCCCACCCCAGGGCCCAGCCTCCTCCTCACACTGAGAGCCTGAGCCCAGTCAGCGTCTCTTCCTAGAAGCCCTCCCGCCTATCACCTCCTCAGCAAGCGGGCTCCCCTTCCTTCTGTGGCCCCGAGATCTGGTGGCTTCTCCGTCACTGTACTCACCACACCCTTTATAAATATCTTTTCACTGTTTCCCATGAAAGACCACACCCTTTATAAATATCTTTTCACTGTTTCCCATGAAAGACAGTTTCTTGAGGGCAAGGGTTGGGATCAATTTATTTTTGTATCCCAACACCCGACAAAGGCATTCAGTTAAATGAATCAATTAAAAATGTAATGTCCACATGTGATTTTGGTGATATTTAAATAAAAATTAACTCTAATAAATGACAACTACCTATTATTTTGTCAGCTGCCTATAGTAGGGTTGTTTTAAGCTTATTTTTACTGAAGCAACAAGTAGAACAATAATGAGACCGGTTACTACTGTGACATGCTCAGTTAGCTTCAGAAATAAATTTTCCATGATGCCCGATTTACAACCAGCAGCATTAGGCGAGGTGCCCGTGACTCATTTCCCGTCACACAGCTGCTTCCCTGCCACCACAGAGCTGAAGAAGTCCCTGTGGAGGAGGCCTGGGCTTCTACCTCCCCTGCAGACAAGACCTTCAAACCCGTAAGAGGCCACTGCAGGTCGGCAGGTGGAGAGAGGAAACTCCATGACCAAATCACTCCTGGAAACGCTGCAAAGTGACACGACCGAGCTAGAGAGGAAAACATGCTCCGGGAAAGTTTATTAACGGAAAGCTCTCACCTGACTCAATTTTGTTGAGTATTTTCCTTGCACACTGTACAAAGGCCTCTTCCACGTTCTCCCCTGTTAGTGCACTTGTCTCCAGAAACATCAGCTCTAAAACCAGCATCAAACAAAACAGGAAGCCATACTTAGAAGATAATCACAATTATTCAACTCATAACCACCTGCTTAGTATACTATTCTCTTAGAATAGCAAACAAAAGAGAATTTTGGCCTTAAAACCAGGTATTTCTGCAAACATAAAATCAATAAATGTCAATCCATACATAATTTTTAAGTCTTAGAAGAACTCTAACTCTTTCTGAAAAGTAACTAGCAGTGTGTGCCAGCACTTACATGTGCTGAAGAAGAAACTAAGCAAGCAGGATGCTGGCAGGGAGGCAGGCTGGCTGAAGGCACCCAGCTTCTGACGTAGGACAAAGCAGCAGTTTCCTTTCTGTCGCCACAGCACAGCCTGCAATGCTGGCGTCGGGGGCCACAGGCCGTGTTGTCCCTGACAGCGAGAGATCGTACATGAGCGAGCCCTCTGCTTTCCACCAGGCGGTCACTCACCCAGGGGAAGGCTGCTCTCCTTGCTTTTGTGAGCAAACCACCACCTCTCCAGACACCCATTTCCTTTTCAGTAAAAATGAGGTGCATGTAAATGATAGAGAAATTCCTCTTGAGCATTAACATTCTAAGCTTAAATACTTCTAAACAGCTTCTTGACAAACTCATAACGGCTTATGTTTTTATTGCATGCTTATTTTCTTAGCAGAGAACCTGTTTGTGAGAGTGTAAGTTGGCAGTCCTAGAGTCCTGTTGAAAGTTGCTATTAGCATATTTTATTTCCTGACTGGTTCTAAAAATTATAAAGTTATTTTAAAATGTCTGAATTCTTGTCGTTCTGCTGTCTATAGGGAATCATTCATTTTATGTGTCATCCTTATGTATTCTACATAAAAATTCAGCAAGTTTCAAAGGCATCTTTAGCCAAATGACTTAAATTTAATGTAAGCAAAATAAAGCCGGTAAGTCCAGTATCTCATCTACTGCTTCACCTTCTATTTAGATCTAATATTTCACCAAATTAACTTCAAATTACATTTCAAAAATGATAACATCATCTGATTAGGGCCTTTAAAAACTGTTTTAATTTTCACTTCAAACCAAGAGCTGTGATATTAAAGATCCTAAACTGAAACACCATCACAGAATGAAAGAGATTAGCTTTTATCATCATAGGAACCTCTGCAGGCATAGTGCAATAGGCTGAAAGTATGCTAAATGTTTAAATGTATAATAAAAACAATAGGAGGTTCCACACTCCCCAAATACAGCTTCATCTTAAACCTCCAGTAGCTGTGACAGGTGAAAGGCCACTTGCCATTTTCCTGAGCAAATCGGGAGGCCTCCAGGAAAGTGACTTCCCGATCAGTGTCCAAGTCCTTCTTGTTCCCGCAGAGGATGATGACAATGTTCTGGCTCGCGAGCATTCGGGCATCTGTTAACCAATTAGTAAGCGCATTGTAGGTTTCTCGGCTGCGTAATATAAGATTGTGAGAACAGTACATGTATTTTATAAAGCTAGCAACTCTTTCCAGTCACTCACACCACTCACACCGCCTCTACACACATGGGCAGTGCTCACGACCTTCGAAGCACTCAGGACCTGCGCGCCCCAAGGGCACACCACATGCTGAGGTTGTGTTCCACCTGGTTTCCAGGGAGATGCCCCAGCGAGTCGGACAGCTTGCCACCTGTTGCTTCCCCAAGCAGCATGCAGTATGCACTGGGGTCTTGGTCCATGCAACATGTGAGCAAGACCTAAGGCTAACTGCTGTCACTCGACAAATCCGTGCAACATGATGGTCCTTTGTTTCACAGGAATTTATCACACTGATTCTCTGTTACGCCCTCTTATCATCTTCCATTTACATGAGAAACCTGAGGCCCAGAGTGACTAGTTAAGTTGCCCAAAGTCACACACGCAGAGCCAGGATGTGACCAGGTCTGTCTGCCTCCAGGACTGTGTTCAGCTCTTATCTATCTAAGGACAAAATCCTCGTATATTCTAAGGACCGACCAAGGAACTGAGTTTTTAATTGAATTTAATTGTGACACCAAGGTGCCAGTTCCATGCAGGACCATGCACTCAGATCCTTATGCTGGGCCAAGAGCTTTACAGGAACCAATTTAACTGCCCAACAGCCTCACAAGTACTGTGTGGTCATCCTGACTCAGTGGGACAGACACGGAAACTAAAGTTCAGAGGGCTCACACTGCCTGGGGACAGAGCCAGGATGTGAACCCAGGCCATCCTAGCATATGGCCCGTGCTTGACGGAGGACAATTACTAACAATTTACCACGTGCCAAGCTTCATGCTGCGAACCTTAAGGAAACACAATGACACTGGAGATGCTTTATCTATCTGAAACTTGGGAACATGTTCCACAGGGTAAAGGGGTGAAAGTGCTGCTCTGAAAACCTGCAAGACCCTCAGGGAAAGGGCGGGGGGTCTTGCTGAGTCCCACTTCTGCTGTCCGCTGATGCACCGGCCGCCTATGGGGAGGTGTGGCCCCCGGGGAGCATAGGCTGAGTAGGGGTGTTATTACCTGGTGATGTCGTAGACAAGCAGAGCTCCCGCTGCACCTCTGTAGTAGCTTCTCGTCACAGACCTGGAAGAGTTACAGGCTTTTACTTTCACTGGAGCAGAGCCCTTGCTCATGAGCAGCAGCCTCCCACGCAAAACACCCATTTTTTGCCTTGACAACTGCAATACAGTGACAGATACCGCTCCAAACAGAAATGATACAAAGACATTTGAAAGCAGACACGAACGGCTGCTGTGTCCAAAACAGTATCACAGTAGTGATAAGGGGGTGGGGCCCCGAGGCTGGGGATGAGTGTGACCCTCTATGGAGTGGGGGAGGCCCTGCAGGACTGAGGGGACCTTTGAGAACATGTCGGGGAAAGACAGGAAGGAGGCAGCAAGGCTACAGCGCACGAGGCCCTCAGTGGCTCCTCTGCTCGCCTGGGGCCCATGTCTTCCAGGACACGGGCCATCGCATGCCCTGCCCCAGGCCCGGCGGTGCAGCTCGTGCTCCCTCCCTCCTGGGGGCACACCAGTCTGAGCCGAGTGTCCACCCAGGTACGTCACGTCCATTCTCACAACCTCTGGGAGTTTTCCTTCAGTAAACACTTGCTTGAATCATGACTCTTTCCCTGTCCGTGAGATTTTCCCAGGGGCAGGATAAAATGTGCTTGGCACCTCCCGTCTTGAACAAGCATGGTGCAGGCAGCAGGGTGCTCCTGCTACTCTTCCAAAGGGGGTTCTTTTGCACCCACACTTCTGGCTGCTTCAGCAGTGCCTCTTCCTCCTCCTTCTCCACGACACAGCCCGTCTGGGCCACGCAGATGCACGGACAGATGACCCAGCGCCACCTGCCTCCCCCTCTGCCTGGACCCCCTGCCCCTCCCTCTGCGCTACAGCCCACTCCAGTTGCATCACTGGAGACACTCTGATTTCACTCTTTTACTTAATGGAGAGTCTGGCTGAGTGTACAATTTTAGGTTGGAAAAAAATTTTCATGTTGAGTTTTGAAGTCAAGGTTGTAATTATCTTCCAGCTTTCAGCTGCTGCTGCCGAACAGCCCAGTGCAATGGTCGTGCTGATCCTTGAGACGTGCCTGTTCTTCTTTCTTAGCATCTCTGGTGTCTCCATCCCACCCCTGGCGCTCTGAGATTTCACGTGGCAGACCCTGGCCTCATCTGTGTTTGGTGTAACACAGAATTTTACAGACTCTCATTTCCTTCAGTGGAAAATTTTCAGCTGTTGCTTTTACTGTTTCCTCTCCTCTGCCTTCAGGAAGGCGTCACTGGTCAGGTCTTGGCCTTCCTGGACTAACTCTGGATGATTCTCCATGCTCTCTTTCTCACCTCGAATTTACTGTTTAACTTTCTGCAAGAGTATTACTCTATTTAATACATTATTGTAATTTCTCTTTTCACATTTTAATTTTGTTTTTATTTCCTTGATGCGACCTTTACTCTAACCTATGAGGATATAGTAGTTTTTAGTTTTTGTCTCTTCCCTGAGAGTTCTTACTTATTTTGGGCTCTTTGTTTTGGAAACTTTCTTCACATGTCTGGTGAGCCACAGATCATTTATGTTGATCATTTATATTCAGAACTAGGAATACCAAAGTGTAAAAGATGCTCTTTATGTGTGGGGCTGGAGGCTCCACTGTGAGATGGCTAGACAGAGATTGGGCTATTTCATTGGGGAAACCAAAATGTTAGTACCTTTAAGCCTTTTCCTTGCGGCTATTTTTCTGTGGAGAAGAATCGTTTCCTCTGCCTGAGACATACACACCTGGCTGCCAGTAACTGAGAGGAGGTGGGGGAAGAGATAAGGGTCAGCAGTTTTCAATTAACTTCCATCTTTCCAGTCCTGGCCTCACTTGCCCCTGCCCTCTAATGGGCCCCTGCTGCTGCTGCTAAGTCGCTGCAGCCGTGTCCGACTCTGTGCGACCCCATAGGCCGCAGCCCACCAGGCTCCCCCGTCCCTGGGATTCTCCAGGCGAGAACACTGGAGTGGGTTGCTATTTCCTTCTCCAATGCATGAAAGGGAAACGTGAAAGTGAAGTCGCTCAGTCGTGTCCGACTCTTAGCAACCCCATGGACTGTAGCCTACCAGGTTCCTCCGTCCATGGGATTTTCCAGGCAAGAGTACTGGAGTGGGGTGCCACTGCCTTCTCTGAATGGGCCCCTACTTTTAGTTTTTTAAGGAATCTCTACACTGTTCTCCTTAGTGTTTGCACCAACTTACATTCCCGCCAGCAGCGTAGGAGGGTTCCTTCCTTTCCACATCCTCTTCAGCATTTACTGTTTGTAGATTTTTTGTGATCGCCATTCTGATAAGTGTGAGGTAATATCTCATTGTAGTTTTGATTTGCATTTCTCTAATAATTAGCAATGCTGAACATTTTTTCACGTGCCTACTTGCCATCTGTATGTCTTCTTTGGAGAAATGCCTATTTAGGTTTTCTCCCCATTTTTTTGATTGGGTTTTTTTTTTATATTGAACTATAAGAGTTTGTGTATTTTGGAATTTAGTAATCCCTTGTCAGTCATATCATCTGCAAGTATTTTCTCCCAGTCTGTAGGTTGTCTTTTTGCTTTGTTTATGGTTTACTTTGCTGTGCAAAAGCTTTTAAGTTTAATTAGGTCCCAGTTTTAAAATTTTTGCTTTTATTTCCATTAAAAATGTTGCTGTGACTTATGTCAGACAGTGTTCTACCTCTGTTTTCCTGTAGAAGTTTTATAGTATCTGATCTCACATTTAGGTCTTTAATTCATTTTGGGTTTATTTTTGTGTACAGTGTTAGAGAATGTTCTAATTTCATTCTTTTACATGCAGCTGTCCCCTTTTCCCAGCACCACTTATTGACAAGACTGTCTTTTCTCCATTGTATATTCTTGTCATCTTTGTGGAAGATTAATTGTGAGGATTTATTTCTGGGTTCTCTGTTCTGTTCTATTGATCCATATGTCTGTTTTGGTGCAATACCACGCTGCTTTGATTACTATAGCTTTGTATTCTTGCCTGAAGTCTAGTTATGATACTTTTTGAAGCAAACAATTATTAAGCATTTAAAATACTATACCTGACTTTAAGTGAAATGCTTGCACTGGGATTGAGTTTTATTTAACTGAATTTTGAAACTATGAATATCTTTTGTTTGACTTTGTATATCGACTCAAAAAACACAACCAGAATATTAATTTACTTTCCTGCTTTAGCAATTATTGTTTGTTCAGTGTTTAAGTTGTGTCTGACTCTTTTATTACCCCATGGACTGTAGCCTGCCAGGCTCCTTTGTCTATGGAATTTTCCAGGCAAGAATACTGCAGTGGGTGCCATTTCCTCCCCCAGGGATCTTCCCGACCCAGGGATCGAACCCACACCTCCTGCACTGGCAGGTGGATTGTTGACCACTGAGCCCACTTCAGTACTTATGGAATATCAAACATGGAACTTATCTGCAGTGATCTGGCGGTTATTATTCCAGATATTGATTATGACTTGAGTGTAACGAAAGTGCTAAGGAGAGAATATTTTGTGGACTGTTTAATGTAAAGCAAAACCAACCCCCAAAGAGATTTTAAAAAATTCCTTATGTGCAATGCTACACCCTCCTAGTGTGCCACTAGGTCTCAAAGAATAAATTATCCTCCAAATTAGAAAATGTTCATTTGGAAGTGATTCTAAGGCAGGAGTCCCTAACCCCCAGGGCACATAGCAGGAGATAATTGGTGGGCCAGACAGTGAAGTTGCATCTGCCCTCCCCATCACTTCCCATTGCTCATATTATCACCTAAACCATACACCCCCCCCGCCCTCGTCTGTGGAAAAACTGTCTTCTGTGAAACCAGTCCCTGGTGCCAGAAAGGTTGGGGACCACTGTTCTAACACATTCTTCCATAAATCAATGCTGAGCGGGACCACTGTTCTAACGTATTCTTCCATAAATCAATGCTGAGTGGAGAAAAACAGGGTTTTAGCGTGTCTTAATGCTTTCACAGGTGAAAGCGTTTCTAAAACCTGTGGTGGGGAGGAGGGGATTACATACATTAAGAGATTATAATTGATTATTTCAAACCAAACTTTCAAATGTTATTATTAAGTTAGAGAAAAAGCTACCTGAATCGTTCTTGGCCTGCTGTGTCCCATATCTGTAACTTTACATATTTACCACCAACATTTATTATCTTGGAACCAAATTCCACTCCTATTGTATGATTTGAGTCATCTTTGACTGCAAAAGAAAAAGAAATTTAATTTTAGGACATTAAGGTAACAAGCTTATAAATTTAAACAAGTAACATTCAAATCAAGAGTTAAGTCAATGGAGAATGTAATTTACTTATGCCATTCATTTCTCCAAAAGTAAAATGATAAAAAGCGCTCACTGCTTTAAACAGAATACATACAGTTTCTGTTCTCAAAGAGCCAATCAAGTTTTTTCCCCAAACTCCTAAACAAGCCATATACTTCAAAGCCAACGCTTTAAACATGTGGTGACCCTGCCAAATGAGGCCATATCTACCTGACCACTATTAAGGTTCTCAAGAATGGTAACTGCACAAAATACTGGGCACCATCTTGAGAGGCTTCCTGCCCAGTGACAGGCTGCAACTCGGCCAATGATGGTTTCAACTGTTTGGAAAAATACTCTAAACAAAAAAAGTGAAGGGAAGGAAAAGCACTGTAGCCCAAGAAGGAAACTCGATGGATACCAAATATTAAGGGGAAAACAGGAAAGGATAGAGTAAAAAAATGCAAATACCCCCCCCCCAAAACCAAGACCTCTATGCACATTATTACAGCTGTCGATTTTCATGAACTTTAGCATTGTGTGTGGCAATCATTTGGAATGAATTTGTTGGCAAAATCAATACTGTCTGAATCGGCAGGGATACAGGCAAAATATGTAGTTTGCCAAACCCAACTGGAATAAGCTATCTATAAAAGAAAATATCTGTGATGATAAAAAACGAATAAAAAAACATCCTGGCTATACAGTCCATTGACTGGTTATGGTTCATAACCATAGGATAGAATTTAATTGCAACAGAAATCATCTGACAGCTGTGTTCCCTCCATGCTGGGGACCTGGGGGTAGGAGAAGGTTTGAGTCCAGCAGCCTGTCTCACCCTGGACGATGCAGAGCCAGTGTGGACACTCACCAGCACCCAGCTACTGGGCCAGCCTAGGGGGAAATGCCTCCAAAGGTGACAGCTAAAAGCCAGGTTAACACGCAGCTGAGAGAAATAGCACCACTGCGGTCATGAGTGAAGGGGTGCTGTATGAGGGGAGTGCCTGCCCGGGCCCGGCATCTGGCCAGGGTGCTGTCTTCTGAGATGGCTGAGTGGCTGGTTCAGAACCCTGGGCCCACCCCGCAGATGAACGCTTGTCAATGCAGTGGGCACTGGCTCCGTGACTAAGCCACGCTGTGTCTCCGTCACCACACAGAGACTCCAATGAGCTCCTGGTCGAAGGAAATGGAAGAAGCAGAAAACATTCTAGAGTCTTACTCTTCAAGCTCTTTACCAGGACACCCTCTGTCTGCATTTTACCCACCATCTAACATATCTCACACACCCTTATTTAGGATGAACTTCATTAAATGAAATTAATTCTGTTTTTGTGCCTTCACCTGACTATAGTAATACAGACAGGTCATTCTCCACAAGTCTTCCGATAATTATAAAAGAACGGTATATTTTAAGGGCCTTTCAAACCTACCATGTTTTACAATAGTTTGGAATACAAAATGTAACCTCCCTTACAACGTGGGGCAAGTCAATGGCAAAAGATATTTCTGTGGGCCAAAGGCCTCGGTGTGAGTCTTACATGTGCAATCACTACCTGTTTCTTTACCTGTAAAACAGGACTGATGACAACAGCTGCCTTAACGACAACACAAGGCCGCTGGGGACCAAACACTACTTTATCCAAAGTGTACAACTAGGGTTATCGGGCCACTCCCTGTCAGGAAATGGAATTCCACAGCATTATAAGGTATTTTAGTATCTGGAAAATGTACAGGACAATTTACTACATAATGAACAATGACCCGCTATGAAACTGAAGTGCTAAATAAAAACAGATTACTAAACATTTAATAACATAAACTTTTATTGTCATTTAAAAATATCTGTAAACTACAACTTTCTTCCTGCAAACATATTCAGAAGTTTTGCCGTAAACAAATCTGTGTAGGAGCACGCTCTCAGAAGACAACATAAAAGGAGCCCTGACCACGTGACGTCACTTACATTTTTTTTCAATAAACTGATGAAGCAAGCAAGACTTGCCAGTTCCGGCATTTCCAATAACCAAGAATTTAAACAAAAAATCTGAAACACAAAAAGAGACTGTGAGCAGTAACATTAAAACAGGTGCTATGAACTTAGACTATAGTCATAAAATTTAATGAGATTGTAGTTGTTAACATCACAGAAAAAAGAGGTAACTGAACATTTTGAGAAAATGGCAATAAACACATTGACTTACCTTTCCACCTTTTCAATACCTGGTTTACATGCTAACCCAGTGCCTTTTCTAACTCCTCTGGGGATAATTTCTTTTGATACTGCAAGTTTGAAATGTAATAACTATAATGAAAAAAGTGACTAAAATCTCTCTCTTTGCTATTCAAATAAATATGCATATCTAGTGACAAGTAAAAATCACTTAGAAATTTCAAATGCTTTCTATACAGAGGAAAAAACTTGGTAGACTCATGGGCTTTGAGAAGTTCACTCCTTTCTTCTTTTAAAAAACAGGTGCAACTTCTCCCCGCCCTTGCTTCTGTGGCTTGGCCTCTGTCCCCGCACCCAGGGCTCATGGGAAGGCTGCTTCTGGTCAGTATTACCCAATTTGGTCAGTATTCCACGTGTGAAGTTTGTCTCATTCAATATAGGGAGAGCTCTTCACTTCTTCTTTACACAGAGGAATATATTTAATTTGGGATCTTATTTTGCATAAACTGTAAAGAGAGGCTTTCTAGCATGGAACCTGTGAGTCAGAATGAGGGGCATGAGTAGCCTGACACTGCCCTGGTGATTCATGTTGCTTTTTCTGATGGCAAAGAAGTCTAGTTCTCTCAGCGTAGCCTTGCGAGCACAGCTCCCACCCTCACACTTTGACCGCCACCCACCTCTGCCCACCCCAGGCTGCAAGGCTCACCTGTGGCTCTGAAGGCCCTGCTCTGCGCTCCTGGTTCCCGTGGCTGCACCTCTGATGCTGTCACCTCCACACTCCCGTTTTAGACCTGACCACACACTCCCAGCCCTGGCTCCTTCTCTCCCCCAGCTAAGCCCAAGCAGTCCATTTCTTAGCTTATGCTTGGCCCAGCCCTGTTCCTAAGAACTACACTCATTATCACTCAAAGATGAAGCCTATTCCACCTCTCATATTTACAGGCATTTAAACTTATAAGACAGTGCTATTAGGATTGTTAGCATTTACAAATACATTTTTATGCGTCTCACTGACTGTTTTAAAAGCATGCCACACTCATGTTCATGACAGCACTATTCACAGTAGCCAAAAGATGCAAGCAACCTAACTACCCATTAACAGATAAAGAATAAACAGAATATGGCACATATAAACTTTGGATATTATTCAGCCTTGAAAAGGAAGGAAAATTCTGATACATGGTACAGTATGGATGAATTTTCACACTGTGCTAAATGAAATAAGCGGACACAAAAGAAGACATACCAGAAGATTCTATTCACATAAGGGGCCTGGAGTGCTCAAACTCAGAGAGACAGAAAGTAGAATGGTGGTTGTAGGGGTGCTGGGGGAGAGGGAATGTGCAGTCAGCGTTTAATGGTTACGAGCATTGGTCTGGAAAGATGGAAAAGTTCTGAGGAGGAATGGTGGTGATGGCTGTACAATGAATGTGAATGTACTCAATGCCACTGACTTTAAAATGGCAAATCTCATGTTACGTGCGCATTTTATCACACACACAAAATAAAACATGTCAGGTCCGATCATTTGCACTGAACAGCTTTTACAGCCCAAGAAATTAAAATATCCAAGTTAAAATGACAATACTAAAATTTCTCAATTTTGTTCAATATCCTGAGAAATAAAGCCCAATACATTGTTGTATAAGTTGTAACCACAGGAAGATGAGAACCAGGTAAGAATGCTGCCACCGTGTAGGCAAAAGTAAGTCTTGAGAAAGTAATTTGCACACACGAATGGGAGTGTTTCTCATGTTTCATATGTATACAGCAAAAGGAGTTTCACTAATCCATCTAATCCTGAAACAAAACTCATATGTCTAAGCACAGACTCTAACTTAAAACTTGTTCCCTTATTATTTTCTGCTTTGGAAGTTCTGCTTAAATGGACTTCATTTGGACAGAGGAGCCTGGTGGGCTACAGTCCATGGGGTTGCAAAGAGTCAGACATGACTGAGCAACTAAGTGCGCGTGCGCTTGCACGCGCGCGCGCACGCACACACACACACACACACGGTAACTGCTTTCCAGATTACACCACAGTCTCAACAGGTAAAAGGGTAACAGTGGCAGCTGATTTCACCTTGCTGGACAAGAGACAAGTAAGATGTGCAATTTCCGTATTTGAAAATATTTAATTCCTCCAGAAAAATCTTCACACTCTGAATCTTGTAGCTCAAAGAGCTAAGTTTTCTTACTTAAAATAGAAAACCTTTTTGTTTGAAAACTCCTTTGGAGTCAAACATCTAGAAATGCTAGATAAAACATATCACATTAAAAAAAACTCTACAGCTGACCTTTCAGGAAGAAGGGCTGGAAAAAGCAGTAGCGGCCCTGGAGGGCTGTCAGTTTTGGGTCTTAAGACATGTGGGACAGGGTTCAAGAGTGTCCCCACGTGAAGGACGGAGGACAGAGGTCAACCTGAACTTTCTTCAAGGCTCGGCCTGAAGTGAAAGACAGGCTGGGAAATCCTCTCACCAGCTCACGGGGACAAGGAGCCTTCTCTGACTCTGTCTGGCCTCTCAGCGAAAAAAAACTCAAAAAACAAAAAAACCATTCCCCTTTTGAATATTTATTATGAGCTGGCTCCACAGGAGTTTGAAATTCAAACCAAAAAACATGTGGACAGTGAAACTCCAAGTCAAGAAATTTAAAACAGTAAAAATGGCCCTAGACAGCGACGTCACCAGGATGCCTGGAAGAAGCAAAGCAGATCACTCTGGATCACTCTGGAATCACACTGGCTCCCAGGTGGTGCGAGTGGTGAAGAATACGCCTGCCAGTGGAGGAGACATAAGAGACCTGGGTTCAATCCCTGGGTCGGGAAGATCCCCTGGAGGAGGGCATGGCAGCCCACTCCAGTATTCCTGCCTGGAGAATCCCATGGACCGAGGAGCCTGGCGGACTACAGTCCATGGGGTCGCAAAGAATTTGGACCCAACTGAAGGGACTTAGCACGCTGGAAGGACACCTCCTCCAACCAGGATACTCAGGAGTCCCGGACATATAGCTTCTCTGAAGATGAGCTCACAATTTAAAACAACAAAACACTCCAGGAAACAATCCATCGTGAGTGAGTCAGCAGTCCAAAGATATTACACCCTTAAGAATGTGATTTTAAAAGAACCTGGTATGAGAACTCACTACTGTCTCCTCATCGAAACTGAGGTCCAGCACGTTGAAAAAAAAAGAAAAAATAAAAAAAAATAAAAGAACCTGGTAAGGGACTCCCCTGGTGGTCCAGTGGTTAAGACTGTGCCTTCCAATGCAGGGAATGCAGGTTTGATCTGACTGGGGGGCTAAGATCCCACATGCCTCATGGCCCAAAAAAAAAAAAGAATGTGATGACGTATACTCAACATGATTAATGCCATAAAAAAGGAATTGAATCCATAAGCAAAGAATAAAATGATTTGAAAGAATAGATCAATTTCCAGAATGTGTCTAAAATAAAAGCTGCAATCATTAGAAACAGTCAATGGATAAGTTAAAGAGCAGAATGAACAAAACTAAGGAGAAAATTAGTGAACTGGAATAGAGACTGGAGAAAATTACCATGAGGCAAAATAGAGAACTGAAGAGAGAGAAAATATGAGAGTTTAAGAAAAATGCAGAATTGAAAGAGGGTCCAACACAAGTCTGATTATGTATTTTGGAATAAAAAGAGTGAGTGAGAGAGAGAATGCGGTAGAGCAAGTTAATGTTAAACTGTAACAACAATCAGTAAGAAAGGGAAAACTCCCTAGAAGAAACTAGGTTCCTTTGGGGTTAATCAAAGGTCACCATCTTCAGTGCTGAGACAGGAGCATGGAAACAACGCACTGTCTAATGCAGAATTCAACATATAATGATCACCCTAAACACCAAGCTGGACTTCTGCTTCCAAAAAGAGGGAGCAGAAAGAAGCACTTTTCCTCATTCCTCCTGCTCAGTACAACCTAGAATCCTAGGCATCACACATAAAAGAAACAAAAGGAGCCTTGGAAAAGTGTAGAGAAGGTGACAAGCTGGCCAGAGACCTAGGGGCCTGGGGAATGACACAGTGGGTTTTTCCGTGGGTTTTCTCCTTTTCCCTCCTCTCTCCCAGGCAGGGAGCTGAACAAGCTAACAGCCAATGGAGGCAGATTTTAAGAAGCCCCAGCAAAAGCCTGGTCTCTACTCATAGGACCAGGAAAGGCCAGCCTAGCAAGACAGAAAACTTAACACAAAACTGCTCTACTCCAAACACTACAGTAAGAACTCACCCCAGGTCTCACCCTACCCACGCCAGCAAAGGATGGATGGGAACCTGGACAGCCACCCTTTGGAGGCTGTAATGAGGGTCCCCCAGCACCAGCAGGGTGGTGTCTCAGAGACCAGGGCCGGGGCTGCGAGCCAGCTCTGAGCTGTCCTTGCCGCCACTGCACGCCAGGCGAGACACGGCAGCGGTAGGGGGCAGAGGGCGCAGGTCACAAGAGCTCTCATCCCCACTCAGCAGCACAGGGAGCAGCCCCTCCGCCTGGACGTCCACGGACGCTCAGACGGCAGCCTGGACTTCCACCTCGACCTGGCGGTAACGAGGGTGGCTAGGAGCAGAGATGAGCTACACGAGACTTCAAGATCGAGGGTCTCACAACATGATACAAACATTCCCTGTTTCGAGTAAAAATCCCTCATCATAGCAAGAACCAGGAATACCTCAAACAAAGGAAGAACATCAACAGATTCCAATGCCAAGATGACAGACACGTGGAAACTCTGCCAAAGATTTTAAAGCAGCCATCATGAATGCTTCAACTAGCAGTAAGACATGTTTGAAACACATGAAAAGCAGAACTCTTCACCAGAGAGAGTATCGTCAAAGAAAAAGAAAGCACATAAAAGAACCAAATGGATGTTTTGGAATTAAAACATACAATAACTGAAGTACGGGGCTCAGCGGAT